ATTCATGTTTTCTGCCCATTTCTTCACTGGGTTATTTGTTTTTCGGGTGTGGACTTTGGTGAGCTCTTTATAGATTTTGGATACTAGCCCTTTGTCCGATATGTCATTTGCAAATATCTTTTCCCATTCCGTTGGTTGCCTTTTAGTTTTGTTGGTTGTTTCCTTTGCTGTGCAGAAGCTTTTTATCTTCATAAGGTCCCAGTAATTCATTTTTGCTTTTAATTCCCTTGCCTTTGGGGATGGAGACACAATAGACTTTAAAACAAGCATTTTAATAAGAGACAAAGAAGGACACAACATAGTAGTAAAGGGGTTAATCCAACAAGAGGGTATGACATTTGTGAATATTTATGCACACAACGTAGGAGCACCTAAATATATAAAGCAAATATTAACAGACCTAAAGGGAGAAATAGCACTACAAAAAATAGTAGGGGACTTTAATACACCACTTACATCAATGGATAGATAGATAATCCAGACAGAAAATCAAGAAGGAAACATTGGCCTTAAATGACACATTAGATTGGATGGATTTAATAGATATATTCAGAACCACACAAAATAGTCTTGAAACCATGTTTGTCACAGTAAAGCCCTAATGAATTGTCCCCTCTCGCTAGTGAGTTCAGGTTTCTAATGATCTCTTCTCCAAGTTCTCTATGAATTTTGGGGGGTATTGCTGGAGAAATTTAGGTTCTTATCTCTTCTTTGATAACTCCATAAGGATCATCCTTATATTTCTTGAATCTATCACTTAAACATGAGTTATCCTCATTCCAGTAAATTCCACACATAATGTTTCCAGGCTGTTCATTTTCATTGATTGTCTGTGTGTCCATCAGCCATTTGGTCATTGATTTGCGATGTAAACTGACCGCTTCCTGCTATACTATAGAGAGGACCTAATCTCTGCAGTCACCTCTGTGCAGGCCACATGTGTGGGATAGTATGAATCCTGGGAAAGGCTTGGCTTCTATGCACTGCTCTTCCTACCCAGCTTCTTTTTGGATTTGGATACTCCCCCTCTTCTTTCTTCTTTTGACTCAACTTCTGGTTCTCTCAGACTCTAGTTTTTTGTGCCCTGATTACTTGATAATAGTTATAGGACAAGACCGCAAGATTCACTGTGAGTTTTTAGCTTCTTTTTGGGAAAAGCACAAGACCAACGACAAACTTCATTTACCACCATTGTGGTAAATGTGGTTATAACGGGACTTTTAGATTTTAGAGCAAGCAAAGGAGGATAGTTTGAGACAATTACTTCTTTCACTGAATGTTTGTTGTCTTTTCTTTTCGTAGGATTTTCACTGGCTGACACGCTCTAAGATATAAAGATGTCCAGGAATGGTCGTGAGGAGTTTTCTTTCCTGTAAGATGGAATTTTATTTTCCACAGCAAAATACTAAAATGTTAAAATTATTGTACAAAGAAAAATAAAAAACATTTCCAAATGACATCTTATAGTAAAGGAATTGACTGTGACTAAAACCAGAAAAAGTTACCAGTATTCTACCACAGAGAGAACAATTGGCAGATGAAAGAAAAAAGAGAGTTTTATTAAATAATAGCATTGTAACTGCCTAACTGCTGAGTTACACATCAGTCTTCTTTCACATAAATCCATTCTTAAAGTCACATGTTTTTTAAAAAACATCTTCGGAGAAAAAAATCTCCCAAGAATTTTCTAATGTAGAAGCATGTTCAGTAAGTTGGAGTATATAGGCTATTTCTACTTTGTAGTTTATCTGTTGATCACTTTGTACCTTAGACCCCCCCTAGTATTTAATGGGGCTTGTTCTATACTTTATGAATTGGGGTTTTGTTTTGTTTTGTTTTGTTTTGTTTTGTTTTGTTGTGTTTTGTTTTTCTGGAGAGAACTTACTGAGCCAAAGGAGAAGTCATGCCATACCTAAACTGATAATTTCAGGGTATGTTTAGATTAGCAACCTTAGTTTATGTGTACCACATTGAGACCAGCAGAGACAACAGTCTTTTGCTATATAAAGAACTCTTATAAATAAGAAAAATATTAACACACTAGTAGAAAAATGAGCAAAGGGCATGAGCGTATAATCAATGGAAAAAATACAATAAAATGAGTATGAATAAATGTGAATATATAAGTTAGACTGCAAGCCCTTATTTTTGCCTATCCACTTGGCAGAGCACTTTCAAAATTATAATTCTCAATGAGGGTGAGGGTAAAATGAAGACGGAACTGCTGTGTTATGGTGGAAGATGAAATTGGTACATTTTCATAGAGTAATCCTAGCAGTGCTTGTATTTGGAATCTTAAAAATGTTCATACTGAGGCTTGGGTGGCTCATTCGATTAAGTGTCTGACTCTTGGTTTCAGCTCAGGTCATGATCTCATGGTTTCATGAGTTCGAGCCCCACATTGGGCTCTGCACTGACAGCGTGGAGCCTGCTTGGAATTCTCTCCCTCTCCCTCTTTCTGCCCCTCCCCACTTGCTCTGTCTCTCAAAATAAATAAATAAAATTTTAAAAAAATGTTCATACACTATACCTTTTGACCCAGGGAGCCCATTTAGAGAGTGTGTCCTAAAGAAATAATAAAATATTTTGTCAAATATTTATATATAGGGCCATTCAGCACAATTTAGAAACAGTGCCAATGTTTAATAATAAGACGTTGCCTACATATGTTATGACCTATTGACCTCATAAAATAAAAATTGTGTTAATGAGTATGTATAGGGATACCTGGGTGGCTTAGTCGGTAAGCATCTGACTTTTTATTTCGGTTCAGGTCATGATCTCATGGGCACGGGATCAAGTCCCGTGTTACCCAGTGTGGAGCCTGCTTAAGATTCTTTCTCCTTCTCCCTCTGCCCCTGCCATGCTTGCTCTTTCTCTAAAAAAAGAGTATATATAACTGGAGGAATAATCACAATATAATACTAGTTTGCAATATACACATAAGACTTGTCTCCATTGGCTATTTAGGGGCATAAGTGACTTCTACAGAGTGGAGTCCAGCTTTGAGATGTCAAGACACTTGCGGGGAGCTGTGGTTTTACCCAGTGAGCCCCTGAAATTGGGCCTACATGGCAAACACACTTACATACTTCTGAGGTACACACTAGAGGGCCTGGGCTGCATAAAAGCATAGAGAATACCAAAAACCGTGTTGAGAGTGGGTAGCTCATGTAACCTTGTCAGTGTCCTACTCTACCCATGGATGGTTGCCTCTGGCAGCCAAGTGCAATGCAAGGTTTTGCTGTAAAGTAGTGTAGAAGGTTTAATGAATATCTGTGAACTGAACTATGTAAATCTAAATACTAGATATAATTTGGGGAAAATGCTTGTTCCCTAGCCACATTTAGCTCAAGAGGAAAAAAACAAACATGTTAACACATTAGTAGACTATCCAGCAGAGGTCAGTCTGAGCATATGAAGACCCGATTAGGCTAGGAGCACTTTGATGACGCTGTCCATTGACTACCTATTTTGTAACAGTAATCTTGAAATTGGTTTCCTTCTAAGAATCTTCCCTTAGAAGGATAAGATATTGAAGAAGCCCCTCTAAGATAAATCTACTGGTTGATAGTCAAATTTACCATGATACAACATTTTGCACCTCCTAGTTGATTTAATGAACACTCTTATGTGATCCTGGTATGTTGAATACTCAAGTGTCTCATAAAAACTGAACTTTGAAAGATTTGGGTTACTTTCTTGATTTAGGAAAACTAAATCTGGGGTGGGAAACGACTTCTTGGGTTAGTTCCTCTACTCATATTCTTTCTAAAAGCTTTCCTACATCATGAGATTGTTTGGGAATTCAGAATGCTACCCTGAAACTCCAAGCCCAATGCCTGGCCTATAGAAGGTATGCTGATGCGACTGTGTTTTAGGAATATATGACTTTGGAGGAGACACTGGCTGAATTACATCCTGCCTTGAGCAGTGTGGCTTCATGTTTTAAATAAATGGGTCTTACTTCCCCAAGTAGATAAGTCATCTCCTGGAAAACAGGGGTTGTGTGTTTTTACTTACCTTTTTTTTTTTATTTTACTTACCTTATTTTTTTTAAGTTATTTTTTAAGTTACTTTTAAGTAATCTCTACACCCAGCATGAGGCTTGAACTCATGACTCTGAGATCAAGAGTCACATGCTCTTCCGGCTGAGCCAGCCAGGCGCCACTGTTTTTCCTTCTTTCTACAGCCACCTGCTCTGCAGGGGTTCACTAAGTAATAGTTGAATGAGAATTCATGATGGTTAGAAATAACTCAGTGGATACCTTCTTTGGTTTTTTAACACATGCACCTTTGAAGTAGCTCCGTTTATCATGTGAAGTGAGTATATTTTCCTTAGGAAAAAAGGTCTCAACTCTGTTACAAAGAAGTAGTAGGACTTTTGAACCCCAAAGGAAAATGAAAATACGGATTCCAAAAATGTTTTTGTTCCTTTACTATTTGCAAGACTCTTCACTAGGCAGCAGGGAGCAGTGCATTCCCGTGTGGAAGTGCCAGGTGACTGAAACAAATGGAAATTCAGAGTGACTAAGGTAGCATTTCATTTGAACGCATTAAAGAAAGTTGGAAACCAGTTAAATTCTAGATGGGAATTATGACTGAGAAACTCTGCTGCCTGCGTTGGAAAGTGAAATGTACACAGAAAGAAGTCTGAAGCATCTGGTGTTTCCTGGTTGCATTTGCTGCTGCTAATGTGACTAATGGAGTAATGTGGATAAAGGAAATTGAAGATCCTATGAATTCTCCCCATTGATGAGGTGCAAGCAAAAGTATACCTTGCTTAGATTCAGATCTGACAAGCAGCGCTGTCTACACCTCTGGCTTCCACTGGATTATCGTAGGATCTTCTGTCCCTTCTAAGGCCTTTTCCAGGAGAGGGGCTAGCCAGTCAGTGAACCCATGGTAAATCCAGGTTGTAAATTTACTCCGATTAGGGAGCAGAAAAAAGGCACACCCAGAAACCCCTGGATCTTCAGTTTCGAAGTTTGAAGGAAACATTCTAAATTTTGACTCAGGCCTGGAAATATCCACAGAGATGGCATCATCTACAATTTTGTACTTTGTATCCAGCAGTCACTAAAATGACCTGTGGTCTGTGGAATGGTTAATCAACAGCCACATGGCTCATGCCCTGGTCCCAGCAGTTTCCTGGGAATTGCCTCCCTCCCTCCACTGATGAAGGTGGGCTCAGGAAATCAGATCTGATTTCACCTTAGCCTGAGTTTTGCTCATGCTGTTTCTACTGCAGTGCCCTGTGCACACCTACCAATTTTTGCCATATGAAATCAGCTATATCCTTCAAGATCTAGCTCAAAAGACCCCTCTTCTGTGAAACTGCTCTCCCTCCCAGCACTCCTACAACACCCTGTATGGGCATCTGTCACTACTCAGAATGTTCACAGTTAATTCCCATTGCCCTCCCCCACTCAACTGAGTGTCTGCGTTCCCAGATGTCACCCACCCCTCATCTTCCAGGGCCTGTGTCCTTGTGCTCCTGTTTGGCATGCTCCTCTGAGTTCACCCCTGAAGAGTCCACTTCCACATGGCATATAGCAATCTAAACGTCACAGACATTTTCTTGCCTGGGAGGTGACCCAGGAGGGGGTTATGTCCCAAAAGCTGCATCAGCCTCAACCAAGGATGCAGGGTGGATAGATGAGCCACCAAGAATCAGAAGCCCACCCTTACACCTGGGTATTAGGTGAGCCCCACGATTCTTAGAGCAGGGTGGGGGAGGATGGCTGTGGGCCATGAGGCCCTGACATGACTGAAGTTGAATTACTAAAAATAAATATTTCTTTCACACTTGAGTGCTTTGGACTGAAATTTACACCCACTACACCCATAAACCATTTCATAACTCACTGCCATCTCTGCCTCCCCACCTTCCAGCAGCCACTCTATCTTCCTCCCCACTACCCTTAACCTACATTTTCATTTGCCAGAATTTTCATGGTTCTCTTCATAATAACCACTTGATTATTTTTGTATATTAACTTCAGTAGCACCAAAAAAACCCTGGTATTTTCCTTAGACTGTGCTTTAAAATACAGTGTAATAATAGAAAAACTCAAGATTCAATAGGGCCAACAGATCAGGAGACCGTTGTCTTGAAAAGAGAAGTTTCTTACAATTCCTAAGAGGAGTGTGCCGCACCACTCAGGCCACAGAAGACACAGAGGTCGATCTCAGGCATAGAGAGAAAGGGAGCTAGTGGGCTGAAGTCTCTACCGTGATCTTGGGAAGAAAAAGGTGAGGCACCGTAAACAGTTTTAGGATTGGCTAGTTTGAATAATTTCCCAGGGCTCTGGAGTGTAGGGGCAGCCCCTGGTGACCTGGTGCTGTGACCCTGGGGTGGTTAGGATAGGAGGATGGTGGGGAGGGAGAAGAAGAGGAGTAAGGACTGTGATA